CTCTGTACCTGCAGAAATGAGGGTTAGCAACTTGGCCTTGACAATAGAAGTGTACTCAGTACATGGAAATCCTTTTTTCCTCTGTTTCTGGCTGAATTTGGAACACGGGCATTATTTCTTACAAAATATACTCCTGAATTGCTCATACTCAGGTTCTGGCTTTTGAGATTGTTTTGGTTATGTGTGCTCTCTGCTAGTTTAAGAAGATAGAATGAGGAGGGACAAAAATAGTGATTTTTTGCATTTTGTATGAGTTGTGGCAAGAAATGGCTGCAAACTTCTCTGTACAAGTACATCTCTGTCACTTGCACAGCATTTAGCAAGTGAGTCTATTTTAATCAGAACTGTGGACACTCTGTAACCCTCCCAACTTCTTAGTGTACATTTTGGCCTGTGGAAAATACTGTCTTACTGTTCATCACCTGCCTGTAAATGCATTTTCTTCCCTGATAAGCACGCTAGGAAGTGAGAGGCTTTTGACAGAGCACTAAAGATATATTGCATTTGACTGCTGCCTGAGACTTCTCTGCACAGATGGATCGCGGTAGTCAACCCAAATCTAAAGAAAATTTAACGAAGCGGAAAGACCTCACTTATGTCCTACTGAATGAGCTGGTGGTGGTTTCATTTGCTCCTTTATAGGCTTATAGTCAAGAATTAGGCGTGTCCACACAGTATTTTGGTTTTTAGTTCGCTTGTTATGAGCTGTCTGTAGTGATGCATTACTATGTTGGCATCAGTGTTACATGGGGAGATTGGGCAGCTGTCCTGTTATTTGTCCAGTCTCTGATATTCAGGGCAGAAAGAGTTGTAAAGATTTATGTGGCTGTGAAGGAAAGCCTAGCATGGTACATTGCAGAAGATCATCTCACAGAGTAATCTTGATGTGGGAGAACTCATGAGTTCTCTTAACCAGCACTGGTCAGGGGCACTCTGATGCACATGCAGGAACCATTGAAAGATGCTTAGATGCTGTTGACTAACATTGGATAATCTTGCATACAGCGAGGTCACGATGCAGTAGCTTCATATTTTGAGGAACTCCTATATTAACAAATTTCTGTGAGGCTGTTTCAAATGATTAAACAGGAGAGAAAATCTGCATTATGCTTAAAAATAAGTTCACATGAAGAAGGTCAATTGATACAGTGCTTGAAATAACTTCACACGTTTCACAAATAAATCTGAGATTTGGGTAAGAGGACCTATTGCTTCTTCCTATTCATGACTTCTGTGCAGTGATTCTGCAAGTGAGGCTGTTTTTTATCAGCTTCACAAGCTTGTAATATGTTTCCTTTGTTTCCTGCCAGGTTGAAGGCAAATTTTGATTAGTGGGCTACTGGGGGAGAAATGAATGTGTTGGGGCAAAGTGAAACTGCTTAGCTTAGTGAGTGTAGTCTGCAGTGTCTAGATGGATGTGCTTAGATGGCTCTACAGCTACAGGCTATAAATACTTTAAAGTCATGCAGCTTTACTGAGGGAGCTGCATGCACGTGTAGCAAGAGTGTAGGTGTGACACTGGAGTAGTGAAAACTGTGCCAGACTCTTACCTTCCCTTTGAATAAACGAAGATGTTGCATCTTGTGTGTGTTGGAAAGTACTGTAAATGTGTGTAATTTGTGCTGTTAACAAAACACTTGTTTGGAGGCAGGACTTGGTCCCTTCTGCTGGGGATGGCACTATGGATGTGTACTGGCATTATGGAGTTTTATATGATTGTGTTGTAGTCTCTAGTTGGCAGGTGCTGCATTGTCCTCTTGAGATCATGCATGAGGAGGAGTATGTACCAGCTGAAAATGTTTTCTTTAAAGGCTTCCAGTAAAAAAATAATAAAACAAATACTTTTTTTACATGTGGGTGGGGGTAGACTTTGAAGGCCTTATCTATCTGAATGTATTTTATTAACAAGACCTGTCCAGGGGATTATTCTCAGTGGTTTTGCTCAGAGTGTAGCACTTAGATATAAGCACTTTACAGGGCTGTTACTATTAAGAAAGGCTATTGCAGTAGTAATTCTAATAGTTCTGTATTTATAGCACATTAATGACAGGAAATGTGCTATATGTCTTAAGTTATCAGTGATGTAATGGGTTGGATCACGTTCTGTCTTTTTTTAGTCCTGTTATTAATGAAATGCCTTTTTTTTTGGCAGCTATTCTGCTGGATATGTTACTCAAGTTAGGCTCCTTGTGAGATACTCAAAGCAAGTATTGTCCTGGTGAAAACTTCTTATTTGTTTGTCAGGGTAAATTCCAAGATTGAAAAAAAAAATAAATTGAAGGATAAAAATATGTTCTCCCTGTTTTGAGTTAGCATATATAACTTCTGGACTAAATAAATGTTACATGATTGCATGAGATTATGGAGGATAAGAATTTGTGCCTTGGTTGACCTTTACTGTATCTCTGTTCTTAATGGCATTTTCCAGCATCTTGTGCTGTTTCTATTCATTATATAATTAGAATTACTCTTTTTTTGATAGTGAACAGGTCTTAAGACTGTTTGCCAGCATTGTTAACATACATTAGCTTGAAAACGTAGCAGTTTTCAAGCCTGTGGGTAGAGTTACAGAGAACGAACATCATTCAGCGATTAGTTTTTGTATGATGTAATGCAGAAGAGGCTTCCTGAGATCTTGTCCAGACTATGCAGAGTAAGCTTTGCTAAAGCCATGTTTAAAAACTGAGTGTGAGATTCTGTGGGAGACTGAGCCTGTGAGAGGATGGCAATGTTGCTTTCATGAAAAGACGATGGATGCCAAGCACGTGGTAGCCAGGGTGTGCACGCAGCCTCCATGGCACGTGAATGTTGCTGATTGCAAAGCCCCACGCTGCTTATCTAGAGAAGCTGCTTTTAACATCTGCCAGTTGCAGTAGATGTTCTCTTACCTTTAGCTTGATAACTTCTATGTATGTTTCTTTTCCCCCTCATTTTTTTGCCTTAACAGCAAGTCACACAAAAAAAGAAAGAAGCTTGCCTTAATTATCCCGATTTTAGTCCTACCCCGATAGTGCTGGAGCTTCAAACTAATAAAACATCAAAAACATTCAGAAAAAGGAGGAGCTTATCTATAATAAGCCTGAACTGGACAGATTGGCACACTGTGGCATTCATAGAAGTGTTATTCATGTGATATATGTAGTCTTTAAAATGCTAAAAAAGTGGAAGTTCAGCAGAACAGCAGATCTCTCTTATGACACTTAAAATATAAGATTAAAACAGCAGTAAACTTGACTCCCTAGAAGAAGAGAGACAGAATTTGAGGTATTAACAATTTGACAGTTCCCTTTTGATTCTAGTAATATTGTTATGTGCATCAATCTGCATGAACCAAGGCTGTGACGCAAAGAGGCCTTTGAGTTAGAGGAAAGGGGCTGCAGAGACATGCAGTGCTGTGGGGTGCTTTTGTGCCTGTGTGTTCTTTAGCCTACACACACAGATAGCAGAAGATGAAAGACTCCAGGGATAGAGTCTTCTGTAGATAACATACATGTTAGATAAAAAAATAACCTTGGTAGGCAGATGGGAAAAGAGCTGGATGCCAAATCTTGCCCGCATCTCATTTGTGTGCCTGTTTTGGGGTTTTTTTGTGAGTTTGGTAATCTACTTGAACAAAACTTAAGTGCAAAGCTAGAAATTAATTCTAAATGGGTTCAGCTGAACGTGGCAAACAAAACATGGCTAAATATGAAAACATAATGCAGGCAATTTTCCCAGGAAGTCTCCAATCTGAGGAGTTGGGGTTCTGTTTCCTGGAAAAGTGTGAGCATTGTCTTAACATTCTTTTAAAGGAAGGAGTCTGTCCAGGTGGCTTTATCCATATTTTTTTTCAGGAAGAGAAAACCACAAGGTGTTTCAGACATGAAGTGCTTATGTCATCTGTTAGTTCGGGGGTGTTGTTTTGTTTGATTGGTTCTGTTTTTTTTCTTTGTTTGTTTGGCTTTGGTGTTTAAAGGCAGTGTACATGCACATACTTGTTCATTTCCATACGTTTCTTAATGCATCTAGTAATGTGTCAGGCTTTTATAGAGGGACTAGCCAGGGTCCCCAGACAATTCTGCAGTTGTGGTCCAGTCCTTGAGGGTGAGTCATAATTCCACATACTGAATAACATGTTGAAATACAGAGGAGAGCCTTCCTGGTGTTTGTTTACTTATGAGTTGCTTATGTAAGTGTAGATGCTCATACACAGTATTCCAAAATATATATTCTGACTGACAAGTGTTTTCAGTTATGTTTCATTCAAGGTAATATAGAAGTCCTGAGGAATTAAGTTGTAGACTGTTTTGCTTAAATAGAATGAACTTGTATCAACTTTCCATCCTGTAAAGCAAAGCAGATGGTGGGGGGGGAAATGTGGTGTGTTGTGTTGTGTTGGTTTTCACCTAGGGGTGTCATTGGAATTACTCAGGAACTGAGCATTGAGTATGCTGGTGCCAGTTCTTTCACACACTCACATGGATCCTTTCATTGGGTTGTCTTGGTTTGAGCTTTGGTCAATTGTATCTTGAGTGTTTGCTTATAGAGATCTTCCTCATGTGAAACATGGACCTTGGATATCATTCCTGTAGTAAATCCAAGGATGGTTTGAAAGCATTGCAGGGTTCTTGTCGCCTCTTTAAGCATGGTAGCAAAATACTTGGATTACTCCCAGTATTAGCCATAGGGAATAGTTGGATGGTGAGGCTTGCTCTCATTTGCTTTGCGAATGTTGTTGGAAGTTTCTCTCTTCAGGGGCACAAAAACACAGCCAGTGAGTAAATGATGATGGGGAAATATTAATGCTGGAAATGCACTCCAGCTGGTAGTAGGCTATTGGCCTGCATTATCTAGAAGATTGGCAGATTGCAAGACGAGAGAGTTAAACATTGATGTACTAGGAAGTAGAAGAGAAATACTAAATTTTAATTGCTGTTGAAGCAGGGAAATTGAGTGGGGTACTGGTGTGACTGAGAAACATACCTTTTTTTTTTTCCCTCTCTTTTTCTCTCCATATTTAGGAGGGCTTTCGAGCTACTGCTCTGCTGCTGAACAGCATGCAGTCCTTTCGGGAGCAAAGTAGTTATCACGGAAACCAGCAGAGCTACCCGCAGGAAGTGCACACTTCATCCCGACTGGAAGAGTTCAGCCCCCGCCAGCAGGCCCAGATGTTCCAGAGCTTTGGAGGAGGTGCTGGCAGTGGACGTCGTGGAGCAACAGGAGCCTCTACAGCAATGCCTGGTGAGAGCTCTGGCCATCAGAGCTACCAAGGTTTCAGAAAAGAAGCAGGAGAGTTTTACTATATGGCTGCCAACAAAGATCCAGTGGTATCAGGAGGGCAGCAGCCGCCTCAGCGCAGGCCTTCTGGACCAGTACAGAGCTATGGGCCCCCTCAAGGGAGTAGCTTTGGGAGTCAGTATGGGAGTGAGGGACATGTGGGCCAGTTCCAAACACAGCACTCGACCCTTGGGGGTGTATCCCACTATCAACAGGATTATACTGGTCCTTTTTCTCCAGGGAGTGCCCAGTATCAGCAGCAGGCTTCTAGCCAGCAGCAGCAGGTGCAGCAGCTGAGACAGCAGATCTATCAATCTCATCAGCCTTTACCCCAGGCTTCCAGCCAGTCTGCTTCTAGCACCTCACACTTGCAGCCAATGCAGCGTCCATCCACCCTGCCTTCCTCTGCTTCAGGCTACCAGTTACGAGTGGGTCAGTTCAGCCAACACTATCAGCCACCTTCGTCATCCTCCTCCTCCTCTTTCCCTTCCCCACAGCGTTTTGGCCAGTCAGGACAGAATTATGACGGAAGCTACAACGTGAATTCTGGGTCGCAGTACGAAGGCCATGCTGTGGGTTCCAATGCACAGGCCTATGGCACCCAGTCAAACTACAGCTTTCAAACTCAACCGATGAAAAGCTTTGAGCAGTCTAAGCTGCCCCAAAGTGGGCAGCAGGGGCAGCAGCAACAGCACCCACCTCAACACGTAATGCAGTATTCAAATGCTGCCACCAAACTCTCTCTTCAAAGTCAAGTGGGACAGTACAGCCAGACTGAAGTTCCTGTAAGGTCACCGATGCAGTTCCACCAAAACTTCAGTCCAATCTCTAATCCATCTCCTGCTGCATCTGTGGTTCAGTCTCCAAGCTGCAGCTCTACCCCTTCTCCACTCATGCCAGGCGGAGAAAATCTCCAGTGTGGGCAAGGCAACATGTCCATGGGTTCTCGAAACCGAATCCTGCAGATGATGCCTCAGCTTAGTCCTACACCATCTATGATGCCAAGCCCCAATGCTCATGCGAGTGGATTCAAGGGATTTGGACTGGAAGGACTGCAGGAAAAAAGGCTCACAGATCCAGGACTGAGCAGCCTGAGTGCTCTAAGTTCTCAAGTTGCCAATCTGCCCAACACAGTCCAGCACATGTTGCTCTCAGATGCTTTGGCACCTCAGAAAAAAAGTTCCAAAAGATCATCCTCTTCCAAGAAGGCTGACAGTTGCACCAACTCAGAAGGCTCCTCCCAGGCAGAGGAGCAACTCAAGTCACCTATGGCAGAGTCCCTGGATGGTGGCTGTTCCAGTAGTTCAGAGGATCATGGGGAAAGGGTGAGACAGCTGAGTGGCCAGAGTACCAGCTCAGACACCACTTACAAAGGGGGTAATTTAGAGAGACCCAACTCCTCACCAGCACAAGGTTCTCAGAATGAGCCATCAAAACTCAGCAGCAGTCCTGCAGCTAGGGAGGATGTGGCCTCCCCTGATGGGAAGGAAGCTGTGGTGGCTGTGGAAAATGCCCCAAAAGTGAATGAAAAGGCAGTTGGGGTGATTGTCTCCCGGGAAGCCATGGCAGGAAGAGTAGAAAAGTCAGGTGGACAAGATAAACCTGCACAAGATGATGCTTCCACAGCCCCTCAGGCACCAGCTAGCACTAGTGGAGCAAAAGAAGCTGGGCATGCAGGGACACAGCAAGAGACTCAAGGAGGAGGTAAAGGGAGCAAAAGTGGTGATAACACTAACCATAATGGGGAGGGGAACAGCCAGCCTGGTCATGCAGTTGTTGGGCCGAATTTTCCTGCAAGAACAGAATCTTCCAAGTCTCCTGGCAGTTTAAGATACAGCTACAAGGATAATATAGCACCTGGTATACAGAGAAGTATGGGTGGCTTTCCACAGTATCCATCTGGTCAAGAAAAGGGGGATTTTCCAGGGCATAGTGAGCGCAAAGGCCGTAATGAGAAGTTTCCTAGTCTCCTCCAAGAGGTTTTACAGGGGTACCACCATCATCCAGACAGAAGGTATTCTAGGAACGCGCAGGAGCATTCTGGGATGGCTGGGAGTTTGGAGGGAGCCATGAGGCCCAATGTTTTAATTAGTCAAACCAATGAATTGACCAATAGAGGCCTCTTAAACAAAAGCATGGGGTCCCTCCTAGAGGGCCCTCACTGGGGTCCCTGGGATAGGAAGTCTAGCAGTGCAGCTCCAGACATGAAGCAGATAAATTTAGCTGATTACCCTATTGCTAGAAAGTTCGATGTGGAGTCTCAGTCTGCTGCCCATGAGGCAGGAGCACTCTCAGAGAGGAGATCAGTGATCTGTGACATATCCCCATTAAGGCAACTTGTAAGAGATCCTGGCCCTCACCCCATAGGGCACATGGGTCCTGAGGCCAGAAGCGGAAGGAGTGAACGTCTTGCCCCTGGCTTGAGCCAGTCAGTAATACTCCCTGGTGGTTTAGTATCCATGGAAACAAAGCTGAAAGCTCACAGTGGGCAAATAAAGGAAGAAGATTTTGAACAGTCAAAGAGCTCAGCTAGTCTCAACAATAAAAAAACAGGAGACCATTGTCATCCTGCTGGCATCAAACATGAATCTTTCCGAGGCAATGCCAGCCCTGGAGCTGCAGTCTCCGATGCTGCTCCAGACTACATGCCCCAGCAGGACAACAGATCGACACAGATGAGACGAGGACCTGGCAGAACTGGAAGGGGTAAATCACCCTCTCAATATCAGGATCTTGCTGATAAGCTGAAAATGTCACCAGGCAGAAGCAGAGGCCCAGGGACAGATCTGCATCACATGAACCCACACATGACACTACCTGAAAGAGTTAGCAGGGGTTCCTTGCATTCTGTCTACCCTCAGAATTCGGAAGGCCCATCTCTGGCTTCAGCATATCACACGAATGCTAGGCCTCATGCTTTTGGTGACCCCAACCAGAGTTTGAATTCCCAGTATCATTACAAGAGACAGATATACCAGCAACAGCAAGAAGAATACAAAGATTGGGCAAGCAGCGCTGCTCAGGGTGTGATTGCTGCAGCTCAGCACAGGCAGGAAGGAGCAAGGAAGAGCCCAAGACAACAGCAGTTTCTGGAAAGAGTAAGGAGTCCCTTAAAAAATGACAAGGACGGAATGATGTACCTTCAAGGTAGCTCTTACCATGATACTGGAAGCCAGGAAGCTGGGCGCTGTGTCATGGGGAGTGACAGCACTCAGAGCAAATGCACCGAACTGAAACATGGCAGCCAGAAGTTGCAGCATCATGAATCTGGTTGGGACCTCTCTCGGCAAACTTCTCCTGCCAAAAGCAGCGGCCCTCTTGGAGCAGCCAACCAAAAAAGATTTTGCCCTCAAGAAAGTGATGGGCATCGACGAGAGGAATCTGCAGATTTGCCCAAGCCTAGTAATGCTATGCTTAGGCTCCCTGGCCAGGAGGACCAGTCTCCACAAAACCCGTTAATTATGAGGAGGAGGGTCCGTTCCTTCATCTCTCCGATCCCTACCAAAAGGCAGCCACATGATATGAAGAACAGTGGCAGTGATGATAAAGGGCGACTGATGACTTCAGCAAAAGAAGGAGCTGATAAAACATACAACTCCTATGCCCATTCATCTCAAAGCCAAGATGCTGGCAAGTCAGTTGCAAAGGGAGATTCCTTCAAGGACCTGCCAAGTCCTGATAATAGGAATTGTCCTGCTGTTTCCCTCACAAGCCCGGCAAAGACCAAAATATTGCCCCCAAGAAAGGGGCGCGGATTAAAACTGGAAGCTATTGTTCAGAAAATTACATCTCCCAATATTAGGAGAAGTGTTTCTACCAATAGTGCTGAAACTGGTCCAGATACTGTCACTCTTGATGACATCCTGTCCCTCAAGAGTGGGCCTGAAGGAGGAAATGTGGCTGGACATGGACCAGAGGCTGAGAAGAGAAAAGGAGAGATACCAGATCAAGTGGGGCCAGCAAGCCAGGATACAAGTGGTGAGAAAACTGTTCCGAGATCTTCAGAAGAGTGGCAAAGCAGTGAGGATGATAAAAACAAAAAAGAGGTCCCTGAAACTGCCAGTATTGGCAAAGAGGGAGCAGGATCCAGTGCAGCACCACCACCTTCTCAGAAGTCAGGTGGTCAGGGAAGGTCTGATGGATCTGTAAGTGGAGCTGGAAATCTGACCTTTTCCGACTCAAAAACAATTTCCCCTTCCAGTGCGTTCATTTCAGAACCAAACCCAAAGTCTGAAGAAAAAGATGGAGATGTGACAAACATTTCACCCAAGCCAGATGGTTTCCCTCCAAAGGGATATTTCCCCTCTGGAAAGAAAAAAGGGAGGCCAATTGGGAGTGTGAACAAGCAGAAGAAGCAGCAGCAACAGCAGCAGCTGCCTGCGCCCCCGCCTCCCCCGCCAGCGCCATCACAGCCTGCAGAAGGGGTGGGTGCTGGTGAGCCAAAGCCCAAGAGGCAAAGGAGGGAGAGACGAAAACCTGCAGCACAGCCACGGAAACGGAAGCCTAGACGGGCTGCTCCAATCGTGGAGCCTCAAGAACCAGAGATCAAGCTTAAATACGCTACCCAGTCTGTAGATAAAACCGACTCCAAGAATAAGTCCTTTTTCCCTTATATTCACGTGGTAAACAAGTGTGAATTAGGCGCTGTGTGCACAATCATAAACGCGGAGGAAGAGGAGCAGAACAAATTGGTGAGGGGTCGGAAAGGACAGAGGTCTTCAACACCCCCTCCCAGCAATGCAGAGAGCAAAGTGCTGCCCACCTCAACTTTCATGCTGCAAGGCCCTGTAGTAACGGAGTCTTCTGTCTTGGGGCATCTGGTTTGCTGCCTGTGTGGCAAATGGGCCAGCTATCGTAACATGGGTGACCTCTTTGGTCCTTTCTACCCCCAGGATTACGCAGCTACCTTGCCCAAGAATCCACCTCCAAAGAGGGCCACAGAAATGCAGAGCAAGGTCAAGGTACGGCACAAAAGTGCTTCTAATGGTTCCAAGACAGATACTGAAGAGGAGGAGGAACAGCAACAACAGAAGGAACAAAGAAGCCTGGCTGCTCATCCCCGCTTTAAGAGGCGGCACCGCTCTGAGGACTGTAGCGGAGCCTCTCGGTCACTTTCAAGGGGAGCTTCTTGTAAAAAAGCATCCACTGATGGTGGCAGTGGTGGTGAAAAGACTCCTTTGGACTCAAAACCGTCTATGCCCACTTCAGAAGGTGGCACTGAGCTGGAGTTACAAATTCCTGAACTACCTCTTGACAGCAATGAATTTTGGGTCCATGAGGGTTGTATTCTCTGGGCCAATGGGATCTACCTGGTCTGTGGCAGGCTCTATGGGCTGCAGGAAGCTGTGGAGATTGCAAGAGAGATGGTGAGTACCTGACCTTGCTATACACAATTATTTTCTTTCATTAGCAAGTATATACCCTTTGGAATACTGTTTTTCCTTGTTTTTCTCTCATGTCTTAAACAGCCATTTTTAATCTTTAAAAAATCTCTAATGATGTCCTTTTGATGGCCTCATTTAAATCTCTGCCACACCTGATCAGATAAGATTTTTTGGACATCAAAAAGCTGGGTGCTATTACCTAGTAAAAGTTCTGGATGTCCAAAGGCTTTCTCGTGACTACAGTGGTCTCTTTGCCCTTCCCTCTTCTATTCTGTTAGATATTTAGTGTTCTCTAGGGCTCTTCTTGGAGTCATAGAGTGAAAGGACAAGTGGTAGCAGACACAAATTGCAGCAAAGAAAGTTCTAGTTTAATTGGCGAAAAATTTCCGTGAGGGTAATCAGACATTGGATTGAGGGTGGGGAAATGACAGAAAAGCTGTGGAATGCCCTGGTTTTGGAGATGCAAAATTTGGTTCTGGGTGAAGCCCTAAGCATCTTTACATCTCAAGGTGGATCTGCCTTGGAAGTTGGCTCTGCTTTCAGCAGGGGCTCCTTCCACTGTGAGTTACTCTGCACTATAATACATACTACACAACTGTAGGAGAATTTGCAGTCCTTACAAAATAAGGTGGATAGAGTAGAATTGCACAAAGGTCTGTAAGCATTGAGTGAAATATGTGTGGGGTTAGTATTGATGAGTTCAGCATTCACAAATGACACTGATAATTTACTTTCTCCAGAGAGGGAGTATACAATGAGTGAGAAGTAATGGGTAAAATTAAAGCAGGGACAAAGGAAAAACTTTTTTCGTAACTTCCTGATTGTGGATGGACACGTTCACTGTTCTTGATTTCCTGAGGCAGAAGCTGATGCTTTAAAACCAGTTATGTGCCTTGCTTTGCCATTGTCACTATCCTGCATTGCTTTTTTTATGGTTATCTTTTTTTGTATTGTTCTCTGTCCTGGGTCAGACCATGGAAGAGGCATAGAACTACTTTTTCCTGTTGCCTTCAGTTTCTTCCTTTTCTAAACAGTGTTGGGATCCAGTTTTTATCTTCTTTCCTCTGTATTGTTGCATACAGCCTGCTTGTTTCCTCCTCATGAGCTTTTTCTCTGCAAGTTTGATTCCTGGCTTGTTCTAAATTTTCACTCAACTGTTCTTTGACAGTAATTACATGCTTCTCTGCCCTAACTTGATTTGGCTTGCATTCTTGTTTCTAGTCTCTCATTAAACATAGTCAGTTAATTTCATTTGGTTTTCATCGAGCCATGCCTGTGTGCTTGTTCTGATGCAACTGCTGAATTTCTTATCTCTGATAATTGCAAGGTTTCTTTCAGGTCCTCCACCACCTTTGGATTCTACTCGCAGTGTGGCCTGCTTTCATTTGTCTGGTAGTTCACCAGTATTTTGAATTTGTATCTCTCCAGCCTGATTTTCCCTTTTTACTGTGTGTAGGGTGTGTCTTTCACTTAGGATTCTGGTTTTCCCAATAGCAAATGCCTTTTTTACAAGTTCTTGAACCGCTTCAGTTATCCTCCAGTGATCCTTTTTGTGTCCCTGTTTGTGCAAAGGACATAAGCCCAGCTGTGCTAAAACATGCTGTGTTGAGAGGCTCTAATCAAACTTGTTCAATAATAGCAGCCCGTTATCCACATTTTCATGTGGGTTTTTGCATGTTGTTTGATGTCTAGTTCTTTCTCTGCGTGGAATCTTTGACTTTCTGATTGAATATGCTTTGGCTTACCCTTTAGCACTTTCTTCCAACTGTTACAATCATCTCCTATTTACAAGTAAAAAAATTTTTTTCCTCTTCTTCTTAACCGTTTCATCTGCCTTTATGGCACCTTACAAAAATATCTCCTTATCTTCCTTGAACTTTGTGTTCTTTTCCTCTACCTCTTTCCCTCAATCACTTCCTCAATTCCTCTATCTTTTCTTTTCCCTCATAATGCCAGTAGAAATAAGTGTTTCTCTTTAAAAAAAAAAAAAAAAAGTACAAAATGCTTGTGGCCTCTCTTGCCTTTGCAACTACCTCTTAATTTCCTTTTTCTTTTTTCATCTCAAAGTTCTTTGAGTGCATTGTCTGGGGCTCTTGTCCTTCACTGTGGCTTCAGTTGTGCTCTACTGCAGTTGTAATTAGTGTTTATGGTGATCTTTTCCCAGTTAAGGTTCAGATCCAGTGCCTAATTTTCCATTTTTCTGTCGACTACGTTATCACTATCAGCTGTGCTGCTTTTGAAGTGTTGTTCCACCTTTGTTTCCTGCCTGTGTCTTTTGATTACCTCCTTGCTTTCCATTGTATTTTTCAGAGAGGCTGTTTTTCATTACTTCATGCTTTTTTTGTGGGCTCACTGAAGTTTGCTGGTGCTTTTTTTTTTTTTTTTTAATCCTGGAATAGCATGCTTTTGAGTAGCTCTTGGTAACTCAATGACTTTCTTCCAGAGTCTTGTAGAGCTTCCTTTTTTCTCCAGATTCATGTTATTTCAACACAAACTTAAAAATTGTTTTTGAATTCATAGTGAGTTTCCAAAATCTCACTTTAAAACATGGCTTTTAATCTACATTATCCTTAATCTATTGTCTGTCATTTTATTCTGATTTTCATGTCACTCAGATTCACAATCTCATTTGGTTTTAAAACTATTTCTTCCTAATCCTTCCTATTCAAGGCTGCAAGAAATACTGCTTACTTTTGGTATATGATAAATAATATGTAGTTTTTCAGTGCTCTCCACTGTTCTGTCTAGATCCATTTTTTATCTGTTCATAAGACTGAACTTTCAGGGACAATTGTCTTGTGTGTACATTTTGTTTTGCTCTAGAATCATAGAATGTCTTGAATTGGGAGCGACCTTAAAGATCAAACCCCCTGCTGTGGGTAGGGACACCTTCCACTAGAGCAGGCTGCTTAGGGCCCCTTCCAATCTGGCCTTGAACACTTCAAGGAATGGGCTGTCCACAACTGCTCTGGATAACTTGTTCAATGCCTCACCACCCTCACAGTAAAGAATTTCTTCCTAATACCTAAGTTAAACCTACTCTCAGTTTGAAACCATTCACCCTTGTCCTGTCACTACATGTTCTTGTAAATAGCCTCTCTCTTGTATGTTCCCTTCAGCTAGTGGAAGGCCACAATTAAGTCACCCTGAAGCCTTCTCTTTTCCAGACTGAACAATCCCAGTGCTCTCAGCCTTTCCTTGTAAGGAGAGATGCTCTGTCCCTTTAATCATTTTGGTGGCCTCCTCTGGACTTGCAAAGACTGTCTTGTTCTTTTTGCATAGAACAAAAAAGGTCTATGTATGTCCTTTTTTGTGCAGAAGACCTCAGAGCTGGATGCAGCACTACAGGTGGTGTCTCACCAGTGCAGAGCAAAGGGGCAGAATCCCCTCCTTCATCCTCTGCCCATGCTCCTTTGGATGCAGCCCAGGATACAATTGGCTTTCTGGGCTGAGTGCACATTGCTGAGTCGTGTCCAGCCTCTTGTCCACCTGCACTCCCAAATCCTTCTTGGCAAGGCTGCCCTTGATCCCTTCATCCCCCAGCTGGTGTTGATACCAGGGGTTGCCCCAACCCAGGTGCAGCACCTTGCACTGGGTCTTGTTAAGCCGCATGAGATTTCCATGTGCTCACTTTTGAGTCTGTCCAGATCCCTATGGCTGGCATCCCATCCTTCAGGTGAGTGAAGAGCACACTCAGCTTGATCCCTTCATCTGTGTCATTAATGAAGACAATTAAATAACTCTGGTGCCAATGCAGACCCCTGAGGGACACCACTGGTCACTGATGCCCACTGGGACTCTGAGCCGTTGATCTCTACCCTCTGGATGTGACTGTCTGACCAATTCCTAATCCATCTAATGCGTCAAATCTGTCACTCTTCAGTTTGGAGAGAAGGGTGTTGTGTGGGACTGTCAAAAGCCTTACATTTCAAAAGCATTACATATAAATTCCATCCTCACCCTTTCCCAGGGAGGAAGGAGTCACTCCATCATAGAAAGCCACTAGGTTGGTCAGGAAGGACTTGTCCTCTGGTGAAGCTGTGCTGGCTGTCCTGAATCAGCTCCCTGTCCCCTGCGTGCCTTAGCACAGCTTCTAGGAGGATCTGTTCCATGATCTTCCCAGGCACAGAGGTGAGCCTGACAGGTTGGTAGTTCCCAGGGTCCTCCTTTCTGCCCTTTTTACAGATGTGTACAATGTTTCCCTTTTCCACTCACCTGGGGTTTCACCTGACTAGCAACTTTTCAAATACCATGGAGCATGGTTTAGGAATTACATCAGCAGACTCTCTCAGGAATCTCAGCTACATCTTTTCAGATCCCATAGACTTGTGTACATTCATGTTCCTTAGGTGTTCATTAACCTGATCTTTGCATACAGTGGGAGGAGCACTTGCCTACCCCAGTCTCCATCTTGTCATCCATCCACTTGAGAGGTGTGGGAAGAGAGGTTGCCATTGAAGACTGAGGCAAAAAATTTGTTGAGTACCTCAGCCTTCTCCTCGTCCATTGGTAGCTGTTTGCCAGCATTGTTTATGGTAGGGAGTACATCTTCTTTGTCCTTCCTTTTCTGGTTAACCTACCTATAGAAGACCTTCCTGTTATTCCTTGCATTCCTTTTCAGGTTCAGTTCCAGCTTTGCCTTGGCCTTCTCCAGACTATCCCTGCACAACTGAACTTCATCCCTATACTCTTCCCATGTTACCTGTCCTTGTTTCCACTGCCTGTGTCTTTGTTTCTTTCCCTTTAGTTTGACCAAGAGTTCCCTACTCAGCCATCCAGTCTCTTGGCTTCCTTGCTCAGTTTCTTGGTTCTGAGAATTGCTAGCTCTTGAACTCTATAAAAGACTTCCGTAAAGATCTGCCAGCTCAGTTCTGCTCCTGTTTTCCTGAGGGCAGTCTCCCGGGGTACCCTATTGACTATCTCCTTGAAGAGCTGGAAGTTTGCTTTCCTGAAGTTCAGGGGCTTAACTTTACTCCTTACCT